TAATTTTTACCAAATCCTCACTATGAAAGGTATATTGTAAATGTTTAACAAATCCTCACTATGAAAGGTATATTGTAATTTTTACCAAATCCTCACTATGAAAGGTATATTGTAAATGTTTATCAAATCCTCACTATGAAAGGTATATTGTAATTGTTTATCAAATCCCTACTATGAAAAGTATATTGTAAATGTTTTCCAAACCCTCGTTATGAAAGGTATATTGTAATTGTTTATCAAATCTCTATAATGAAAGGTATATTGTAATTGTTTACCAAATCCTCACTATGAAAGGTATATTGTAATTGTTTACCAAATCCTCACTATGAAAAGTATATTGTAAATGTTTAACAAATCCTCACTATGAAACGCATATTGTAAATATCTACCAAATCCCTACAATGAAAAACAAACACACCTCAATTCGTTTTATTGTCTGAAGTTCTTCTTCTGCAGACGTTAATGGAGCCGGGCCTTTTTCTGCTCTTAAATATTTATGATAACCTTGAAGACTTGCATCCTCCTGTGATACATGTGAGAAAATATTCCTATCAACATACAGAAACGTATACTGAAATAATATTACATTTCACAGCGATTAGTGATCAAAACACAGTACTGACATTCAGTTTTTAAAATCCTAAAGCAATAAAACAGAAATGTTTTTCCCTCCCAAAAGAAACCATAAAAAATTATTGTTTTTAAAATGTCTTTCACAACTTTACTCTCCCCTTTTCATACATATATGATCATAAGAAACCTACAATAATAATTCTTGAAATGTTTTTTGGTGTAAAAAACTTGAAGATAGCTTTTATATGCGGAAACATACGTTAGCTGAGTTCTATTTTCAAGTTTTGAACAACTCGACTTTCAAGATCTACATATCTACATGTGCTGATGTATCCATTTACCAACGTTAAATTTTAAGATCTGTGCAAGAACTCAAATCTTCAAATAATAATTCTTTCAGACACAGATTGAAAAGTCTGCTAAGCTAGAAATAATAATGGCAAAAGAATATCATATACATATATCTGCAAAAATTTTCCTTATTGGCTCGCCTTCAAACCTCCAGAAAAAACTACATTTCAAGTAGGCTAGATACTTTAAGTGAGCATTAACAAAGAGATTATAAAATATATTACAATACTACCAAAAAAAAATGTCTGAAAACATTACTAAGAGCAAAAAAATTCAAAGTAACTGCTATTTATAATTGTCAAAACTTTATGAGAGCTCTCTTAAAAATTAAAACATAGAATATGTATTAAAAAGATTTTTTTTTTACAGCAAGCATACTGCTTATTGTACCTTGGTAGCAGCAAAAAGTTCATATTTAATGTAAGATCCACCAAACTCTTTTTTTAAAGTTGCTTTAGTTGATGCGTACAACATCTTTTCTCGCACCTAAGAAAATAAAAAAACATTTGATAAAGAACTTCAATTTCTAGCCACAATAAAGAGGAATAGAAATAAAAAAACCACAAATTACAGAACTATATCCATTACAAAAACAAATCCAACTGGTCATTACACTCTAATAATGCACCAAATGTTTTCACAATTTAATCCCAACCAAATTTTTTAAAGTAAAAAAAATTAATGATAATTGAAATGTAAATTTTTTTTATTAATCACAATGAATATTAACATCTTTAAATTTCAGAACATAAAAATTACAGAAAATGGATGGAAGGACTGACTACTTTTTCGAGCTGCACACAACTTAGATTATAAGAACAGGATGAAAAAAAAAGTAAACATGGAGTTGGTGGCCAAATGCTCAAACACAGATAATGTGAAAACAAAACAAAAACTACAATAAGCCACAGGCCATACTTAGAAGATTAGCAGGCAAAGATGGATGATAGAGGCAAATAATATAACAGTATGGAAGGCAAAACAAATAAACCAACATTTGAATTAATTCTTAACTCAACCAGTACAGGTTTTAAAGAAGACAGCAACATTTCATCTAATTCTTTTCTTGTGAGAGTTTCTACAGATAAGGCCTTTCATTGAACAGCATTCACTTACATGATTACAGATAAAGTTCTGAAACAGTCCAAGAAACCCACAAATATCTTTCTGAGATTCACATCCCAAAATAAAGGTAGGTACCATATATTTTTTGGAACACAAAACTCAGGTTTAGGGTCTTCCCGATTCATCAGAACAAAACAAATGTCACCTCCTGCACAATCACAAACAAACCTAATAACAATAATAAATTGAAGAAAAATTAAAATCAGTCCTGTAACATTCGGTGATTTGAATTTGATATAAGAGTAGAAAAAAAATGTTTCAGAAATATAAATACAAAAACTTCACGATAGAGATTCCATTTAATAGAGAGAGAGAGAGAGAACAGAAGGCATACAGAATTTCACCATAAACTTTAATGTGATGTTAAAGTTAAAAATAAAAAGGTTAGACACATTAAAAATGACCAAACAAAAAAAAAGTCTGACCCTATTACATGTTATTAATGCAGTGGCACTGTTTAAAACTGGTATAGAATATTAAGAAGATAAAAATAGTATACCATGCACGAGCAGATACATGTGAAAAAGTTAATGTTATATCAATATGGGTAGTTTCAAATAAAAAGGTTAGTGAGTCGACTTCATCAAGACAGGACCAAGGCTAAGGCAGGCACGTACTTTAAAGTAACAGACAGTTGTATCTATAAGAAGAGAGAGGCAATTTATTGTCATTGAAGATATATAAAAATACTTTATCTTCAAAATAAGTTTTTAAACTGGATCTAAAAACTTAGACTTTAGTCAGTCTAATAATTAATGTTCTTAAGAAAGTTCTATATATCATTATTATTATTATTACAGTGAGCCCCAGTTAGTTCAGACATCAACAATCTGATTGATTGTTTTGTGTAGACAATCTTCACAATAGAAACTTTAACTAATAAACCATGTATTTGCATTTTGAATCCCAACAGATATTTCTAATAACATGCATGCATTTCCCTCAGATACATGACTCCACAAGAGTTAAGTAGTGGTCAGTTTGGATAGAAAACCAGGTGATAATAAAAAAAAACATCCAAACCAGGTACTAGTTCATGACAGTTTTTCTTAAAACAATCTTTACAATAGGGATCAAAGCTATAAGAAATATCAAGACGGATTTATGATATAGTAAAATCACAGAGCTCCAAAATGTGTTGAAATATCAGCATTATGAAAACACAATATTTGTTCATACTATGTATTTTATATTCTCTAAATAAGTCACTGATTTGTAGAAATTATAATTTATGTGAAGATAATGACACAGTATGCCACTTTGGTTAGGCAACTGGTGTAATTATTAACAACATAAAATAATAATAAACTGATAAGTTTATTGTACGTACAGTTGCTTAGTTGCATTGCCATCCTCACTAGTTACTTAGTTGCATTTCCATCCTCACTAGTTGCTTAGTTGCATTTCCATCCTCACTAGTTGCTTAGTTGCATTTCCACCCTCACTAGTTGCTTAGTTGCATTTCCATCCTCACTAGTTACTTAGTTGCATTTCCATCCTCACTAGTTACTTAGTTGCATTTCCATCCTCACTAGTTGCTTAGTTGCATTTCCATCCTCACTAGTTAGCTTAGTTGCATTTCCATCCTCACTAGTTACTTAGTTGCATTTCCATCCTCACTAGTTACTTAGTTGCATTTCCATCCTCACTAGTTGCTTAGTTGCATTTCCATCCTTACCAGTTTGAACTGTTAAATTTTTAATTGATAATTCACGGTATAGTGTCCATTGTATTCAACTTGACTGATTTAACTATCCAGATGATTTCAATAATATAGAACAACTATTTCATTACTAATGTGTTCAGAGTAACGAGGTTTTGATGTGTAAGGTATGATATCATTATTGCCTTAAAGCAAGCATAGATTCATTGATTGTAATTTCCATATAAAATAAGCAAAATTAAAGCTACTCTGGTTACCTAATCTTAAAAAATACATCACATTTGTAGTAGTTATGATGTTATTGGCAGTTATGTAGTTGAAACCTGTTGATGATTTCCTTATGAAAATGCGGTTTTTGATGTCATTAATCATTTCCTAAAGAAATTTAAAAGCAAACTTGCTGATGTGTAAAATTAATCTACTCTTATAGAAATAAGATTCAACCGTTAAGACTTACGCATTACATGTCTTTCTATCCATTATGCAACAAATTTTCCTTTCATCATCACCAACAAATAAAAGATTATTTGTTGGCAACTAAAATTAAATCTCAGCACTGGAGACGATTTAATTTCTTTTGAAGTTTTCCAATATTACTTTTTTCTATTAATTAATGCTTTTAAGCAGTAGGCCATATGAACTGACAAAAGCACACTTAAATTTCTTAGTTAATCAGACATACTTATTTACAAAGTTTAGTGTTTCTGGACTTGAGAAATGCTGACTGGTATATTAACCATATACTAGTAATACCAAAAGACAGAAGGGAACACATACTGGAGAATCATCTGGGGACCAGCTAATAAACACCCAATCATATCCAGTATCTGTCTGGCTATCTAGTCTGTAGAATAAATAACATGGCTGCCTGTCCTCAATAAGCTTCCGTACAAAATAATCGTAATCTGTTGAGTAAAAAATTAATCAAAGAAGGTCAATGATTTGTTCATTAAAATATGTGTAATATTGCATCAAAACAACCTCTTCGGGTATATATATAAAAAGATACAAATCTAACTTTTCCATACATAAAACAAACAAAAACATGCAAGCATTCATAGAGTGGAAAAAATACTAATAATAAAAAAACCCCTGTTAAATACATTAACAATACATTAAAAACGTTAGAAAGACCTATATGTAACAGCATTTGATATAATGCAATATTTTGTTTAAGTTAAGCCTAAAAATTTTCTCTGGATGCCTACAACCAACTTACAGCCCTGGAGTTCAGCATAAGTATGAACAAATACTAGGAGCTTTGCACTGGCAAATTTGAAATAACATGTAAAATTAAGATGTATTCATTATTTATCTCACAATATTGCAAAATAATATGTGAATTTTAATTCCTTAAAATCACAGTTAATTTGAGCCTACCAAGATAAGATCAAAACCAAGGACTTAAATTAGAATTAATTTTTTTAGCAACGTGACAAATTTAACTTTAAAAGCTTTGAGAGATGAACAACCATCAGTATAAGTAGTATAAAACAGCAACTACCAATGGCTGTCCTTTTTTTCAATACAGAGAACACGAATACTCTGTTACACCCATTACCTTCTTCCCATGATCCCCTAGGTTCTTTAAAATCCTGCAGAGTCATTTGTTCTGTGAAAGAAAAAATAATTAAACATACAATACTAGTGTTAAAAAATCTACACATATGCAAGTGAAACAAATATTTAACATCAAGAACAAGGTGTACACATTCTTTTCGAAATATTGGCACAACTGTTAAGGAAAATTCTAGATTTTCCAAATGTGCATATGTGAGTGTGCCACTGTTATTTCAACTTGTCTTCATAATCCTACCTAGTTAACCCTACTTTACTTTTGTTATACAAAGTAATAAGATTTAAGAACACAATTAACACAGAAAAAGATCTTCAATGATGGAACATTGGAACTTGATGGTAGACAATATAAGGTTTCATTTTTATTTATCAAACAACCTTTGATCTAACCTATCATCATATAATTAATTATATAATTATAACCAGATAAAAACAGTGACTGACCAAGATAAGTTAAACATACCATTATCAATAACTAGCAATGCTTATCAGCGGGGTTTGAATTCAGGTTCTGAAAAAATAAAAGGGAGGGTCACACTTTTATCTTGTTTTACACCCCCCCCCCCCAATTAAATCTTTCTTTCATGATTTTCTTTTTACATCTGCAAGTAACATGAAACAGAAAGCTGCTTGGATATAGGAGCATCTTACCATTCTGAATTCCAACCTTGAACACTCTTATTTGTCCATCTTTACACTTCCCAAAAAATGTTCTCAGCTCATCACTCGCTAAAAATATACAGAATAATAATTATATAACAACTAAAAACATACACAAGTTACAGAGAAACACATCACACACACACAAGTTACAAAGAAATGCATCCAATTTATTGTACACATATCATAAACTAGAAACATACACAAGTTAGGGAAAACACATCCTATGCACTGTACATACAAAAATACAAGCACCAGTATTTAACATTAAATATTCTTTTTTTCATCCAATTTTGAATAATTTCATTAATATCACTACTACCATAAAAACTAATAAAGGTATCATGTTTATATGCCTGTAGCTAGTTGCTACATTAAATAGCTTTAACATTCTATAAATTAGTCCAAAATCAATTACCTCAAATATTTAAAATACTGACAGGCTTCTTGTATTCATCATTTACAGTACTTTTTTCTCTTATGAAAGTATAAAGCAAGTCAAAAAAAGTTGAAGAGTTTAAATAGACTACCAACCAAACTACAATATGTTTCTAATTAAAGCAAGTTTCAATGCAAGACATTCAAACAATGTTTGGTCAGAAATAGTAAAAAATTTGATCAAAATAGTCATGAAACTAATTTCTGTTAAACTCTAATTCAATGCAGTATAAATTAGGCCTATAATGTTAACAAACCGAATAACCTAACCATTAAATTAGGCTTATAGTGTTAACAAACAGCATAACCTAACTATTAAATTAGGCCTACAAATTAACAAACAGCATAACCTAACTATTAAATTAGGCTTATAGTGTTAACAAACAGCATAACCTAACTATTAAATTAGGCCTACAATGTTAACGAACAGCATAACCTAACTATTAAATTAGGCCTCAATCAGCAGCATGAATTAAATACCAAACTATTCAAAGCTGTAGAAAAGAACTCTAAAAAAACTTTCTCATATGTATGAGAAAGCTAACAAGAAAAACCAGAAATAATATAATCAATAAGTCTTAGGACTATAATAAAACAAAACAAAAGTAATGCTGTCACTTTAGTGAAGTTTTTTTTCATCACCATAACATATATTAATGAGTCTTAATTTCATGCTCCATGATCTGTTCTATGGTGTATAAAATTACATTAATCAATATATTTTCAATTGAAGAGTCCTTGTAATAGACAAGTGTAATACATAAATGTTGTGCTACTATAGTAACTAACATTAACTTCCAATCAAAGCAAGCTAGATATTTAAGAGTGAAATACAAACCAGCCTAGCAATTAATACAGCTAATTAAATATAGTTTTCTTATGTTTCTACTTATGAAGGCTAGAATGCATTGTTTTATCATTTAGGTACCCTTGCTGTTAATGATATTTTTGGCCATAATCCCAATAATATCTCACAAGGTTCAGCCAGTTTAAGAGATTTATGTTAATCATAAACAAATATAATTAAGCTAACAATTCAAAACAATTTCTATAATAAAAGTATAATAATAAAAAATACAGTTAAAAAGTAGTGAAATTTGACTTTTTAAGTTGTATAACAAATACTTTTAACAATGAAATTAACACTAAATAGATAATATACCTTACTTAGGGAATGCAGAAACATCAGCTGTGGATTTGAACTACTGTCATAGAAGTAAATTTCTTTGAAAAACTTAACCTAGTAAAATGTTCCTGATCTTTTCCAAAATTCTCCCTAACATGTTTTTTAACTAAGTTCACTTTGAATTTAGATTTTAAACACATGTAGCCAATCTAAACCATACCATTTTTTAGTTCTGAATAAAAATAAAAGTGCACCTATTCCAATCTATATATCATTGGATTTCTCTGCAACATTTCACAGAAGACTGATAACCATTCTACAATAAGGAAACCAAAAGCTGTATACAATATTAAAGATATTCTAACCACATTTATACAAAGTTAGATTAATGTATTTAATAGCAGCTTAATTTTTATAACTGGATCCCAGTAACTTGTGAACTTCAATCACAGCAGTCTCTCAGTTGAAGTAGTTTTTTTCTGAACAACTCAAATTTTAAAAAGGGAGATACTTTGTTTGTCAGAAATAAGATGAATATTTTCAAGCAACAGATATCTCAAAAGAATGATAAAAAATATTTAGTGTTTGGAACTAGGTTTTTGGATTGGAGAGAAAACGATTTTTTTGGCATCTAAATCACAACATTATCAATGAGAAGTATATTGGTAGATTAGTAATTTTAATAAAAACAGGTTTATTAGCATGCAAAATTTCAAGTTTACAGAAAGTGATTTTGTAAGTTTGTTTATTTTGTGATTTAGATGACTTAAAAGTTAGAATACTATTCTTAAGTAACTTTTAAATCCTTCTGAAAAGAAAGGGTAATTTCTGTTAACATGGGATGGAGAAATAATATTCATAATTAATTAAAATTTGTAAAATATATGTATTTGTTTTTGTGTACATACAGCAGTACGAGAGCTTTATATCTTTTTAACTACTGGTATTTTTCGGAATATAAGACG